CATCATTCCAAAATTCTGTACAGTGCAAGAGGTTTAAAAAGTATAAGCTTCTAGATTAAGCTATTTAAAATGTTTGGATGGTTATTTCTCAATAATTATTTATGTGAAATATTGTATGCTCTGTTAATATGAAAAGGTTTTTYAGTTTAGCAAAATTCACAGATGGAGAGAGATTATAGAGGTGTAAGACCTTTGTTTTGTTTTGAGTAWTTTTATAGTCACTTTTCTGGATATTTCAATGTTTGTGTTATAGAAAGAATATAGTACTTCTGAGCTACGTATAGCCCACAAGTATTACTGACTGATGATTTACATACATGTATGTGATTATGGAGACTGACTTAATTATTTTACTTACTGTCCAGTTTGTTTTTTTTTCTTTCCTTTGTGTTGCTTTTGGTGATGCTGTCTTTAATTTTGTGAGCCTCCCTACCTCAGTTAATGTCATTTATTTTCTTTATATTCACAACTTTGTACAGTATCCAGAAAAAGTAAAATGCTTCCCTGAAAATAAAAAGCACGATTCCAAGAATGCAGAGGAGAATTAGGGTCCTTCAATTTCTTTAAATTATTGCATAAGGAATTTTTTTCTGCCTTGTATAAAAGATAAATGCTTTGTCAGCTGTTCTGTTTTGATTTCTATGTTTTARTATGACTCATCTATAGTACAAGAAATATAAATAATTCCTTCTTTCTAGGACTTCATTTGATTTCCAGAATACCAATCCATCTCTGATGTATTGCCAAAAYAGTGGCAGCTTTTGACATGTGTCGTGTCCTTTATGTGTCATGTCTTTATATTGCATGTTTGATATGAAGGATCCTGATTATTTATTTCTGATTAATTATTTCTGCTGAGGTATCTCAAACCACATGGAATTCTTGTAGGACTGGCTGTGCTGTGTGGAAGCTGATGGAACTTTGGATTGCTTTGGATTTCACAGCAACAGCTCAGCTGTGTTTAGCAGGGCTCTGTGTAAAATAAAACCGTGGAGCCACAGGTGAATTTCTTCTGCCTGCCAGAAGAATTAGGGAAGTGAGGATGTGTGCTTCCATGGAGAATGGGAGCAGTAATTCCAAAGGGGAAAAACTGAATTGGGCAAATGAGAAATATATCCATCCCCTAGTTTTTTGGCAACATTGGGTGTGCTCACCATGTTAGTGTACTTCTCCTCTGAAATCATGCATAGTGGTTTTGYAGAACAAAAGTGAAGCAGCCAGAGCAAATTTTCTCACCCTGTTTTGTCCAAGATTATTTCCCTCAAGATGAAATGYTGAAATTTCATCTCTTTACCATTCTAGTTCTGTGTCTTAGTTGYACGCCTATTCTATATAATAAAATAATGTAAATACACATTTTTGAATATGCAGAAACCTCTAATAGCTATTCTGCTAAGTTTCTACAAACAAATATTACTGTGCCTTTTGTCATCTAATTGTATAGCTCATCTTAATAAAGGAGGATTTCACTCAGCACCTAATGGAGCTGCAGTTCTTTCCAGACAGTTCAGCTCACTCTGAGCAGTAACTCATGATCAAAAAGATACTTTTCCTTTTTCTCTCTGATCTTTTTAAGAGCAGAAAGCCAATCTTTTTCCAACACAGTCTCAGTAATAACAACTGCAGCRAAAATGCGGTGTACACTCCAACTGTAACTCAGTAGAATTATACCAGGATTGATTTTTTTTTATCCTCTGTAGTCTTTCCATGTGTTTGAACACATTGGAAGATATGAAAGTGCTATAAATAATATATATCTAGTCTATATGCAATGCTTCTTTGCATGACGTGTAATGGCATTTTATTTTAAAAAATATTTTAGCAATTTTTAAGATTAAATAGATCTTCCTGCTTTATTGCTGTCAAGAAAAAGAATCTAGTTCATATTGAATTTTTGAAACATGGATTTCTTTATTTCAGAAASCAAATAAAAGGTATATAGATATTTTTCTTATATGTGCTCTGCTTCTCTTGGGATGTGTGTCATAAAGGTTCTGAAATGCACTCTAAATGGAGTAAATATCTTTGTTGTCTTGCTTCTTTTGTCAGTGTAGGCTTTCTGCATAGCTGCAATAAACTACTTTTGGGAGCATTAGAAGTGYAATATACTTGTAATAAATACAAGTAATTTGGAATAAGGAAAACCCAGTCTTAAATAYTAAGCTTTTGATAGCAATACTTCACTTTCCATGTTGACTGCCCACTTAACTGTCCAAATATATTGTGATGCTGTGTAGTATTCTGAAATGAAAAAAGGTGTGGCTTGTTTTTATTTTTCAGAACTATGTACATGTAAGGAGACAAACATAAAATGCATAGGCTAAGAGACACATTTTCTAAACATGTGGAAAGGTTTTTCTTTAAAAACAAATCTGTCTTGCATAATGCTGTGAGTATGTGTGTGGTAAAACACCAAGAGGACATAGGTTTGACAGCTTCCTACTGTGAATAGTTATTCAATTTTTCATGGTGCATGTTCTTGCCAAGGAAAAGGAACAAGTTTGTAAGTTTGGTGTTTCCATCACCACCCTGAAAACTAAGAACTTCGCACAGCAGGTATTGCATATAACTCTTTCATCCAGTGATGGATTTAGTATTTATAAAATGTAAAAGGACCTCAGAACTATACAGACTTTAACAGTTAACTTTTTTACAGTGAACCTCATCCTTTCTTACATATTGTTTCAGCTGTTTATAGTCAAGTATTGTTAWACTTGACGTAGTTTAAATTATATCTCCAAGTGCATACATTTGGAGAAGGAAAGAAATTTGGTAATAGAGTACTCTTCATTCAAGCAAATAAAAGTAAAGTATCATAGCTGTGAGCTGAAGCTAACAATATTCAGACTTGAAATAAAATACAAATTTTCAAGTAAGGACATTCATACCTGGAATGTTGTACATTTTTATGTACCTTAATAGTGCCATTTTAAAAAAATATAAATTGCCTGAACATCAATAAATAAATACAATGTTTATAATACGGTTGCATTCTGCAGAGTTAGCTCTGATGTGAATCAAACTCGTTCCTAAGTACTTTACTGCCAGAATGGCAATAGAAAAGCAAAATAGCTGGAGAAGGATTCTTACATTGTACTAAAAATATTGCTAGCCAACTTTCAAATTTCCCCAAATTTTSTGCTCATCATTGCTGTGAAAGCAATTGGTATCCAGTTAAGGACATTTAGAATAGCAGTAGGTGAACAAGGACAATCTACYCGTGATCCAGTGCAGCTAACATTGCTCTTAAAATATCAAACAAAACCAATTTAATTAAGAGCACACCAAGTAGACAGATCATGTGCTCCCATCTTTCAAAGTCAATCTTTCTTCTGAAGAAAATGGCAACAAACTTCCATTGGTGACTGTGATGCACAGTTAGAGCTGGGCCTTTCTCTCAAATGCYGTAAATCATTTCCTCTTCCCCATTTCATCCCTAGCACTCCCATTTCAGGCAGCAAGAAACCACCTCCAGAAATCTTGATGCCCCAACATCCCAGAGAAAATGTGGAGTTTAATTCACTATCCATTATTTCTTTGTGTCTTTGTGTGCTTCTTTGTTTGAAAGTAAAAGTACTTTTGTGTGAATGTGGCTGCATATAAAGTATACGTATGCTCTTTCATGTACGTGTTGAAATTATTATTATTATAATTTTTATTCCATTTCATGACCTCGATTCAACCACTGTTCTCTGCAAATGGCTCTGACCTTGTGGAGCTGCAGCATGCGAACGTCTTGGGGAAGGGCAGCCAGAGTACAAAGGCTGCATTGAGTGTGTGGGCAGGCAGGAATGCTGGTACCAGGCAGCTCTCTAAAGAATGTTCTTTTGGCAGAAACAGCCGTGCTAAAAATGAGGGGGAAAAAATGAATTCAAAATTTAGAGCTGGCCTGCGGTGACGAGGCGATAAGAAAAGTTGGCTGTTCAACACGAGCTGCCGCTTGCATATTCGAGGTCCTCGCTATTCTCAGGCCCTCCTACAGCCGTGGCCCCGACCAGTGTTTTGATACAGCACAAAGTGGCTGTTTATTGCTATTGACTGCTGGGGCCTGTGCTCCAAAATGCCTTCTGTCAACAGAATGTAAGTGAACTTGGCATTTCGAAGCCCGGCTGCTGCAGACGCCTCGATTCCTTGGGATTGCCATGCAGCAGGACCGCTGCTGCAGTCCCCAGCTCAAACTGAAAATGTTGCACAGGAAGACGTATCACGTGAAGGTCAGATTCACCTGAGATCCTGGGGATTTTGTGTTTCTTTGTTTTTCCCGCATCAGCACCRTAGATATGTCTTGTCCTTGCTTTGTTGCGTACACTTTTCGCTTTCTAAATTTCGTTCGGTGTGCTCCGTATGGAAAAAAAGTCATATTCAATGGAAATGGCCTTCATGTGAAAGGGAAACATGGATGTGTGTATACAGGACATGATATTGCTGTGAAAAGAGAAATCTAAACCTGTGCTCTGTGTTGCACTGAGGATTTCTCCACTCTTTTGGAAAATCATAGTTTTATGATTTTTTTTTTTTTTTTTTTTTTTTTTTTTTTTTTCTTGAGAAATCAGATCTATTGTTCTCTATTGCTTCCATAGGAACTACAGGCAGAAATCGATGCTCACACTGACATCTTTCACAACCTGGATGAAAACGGGCAGAAAATCCTGAGGTCCCTGGAAGGCTCTGAGGATGCAACCCTGCTGCACAGACGTCTGGATAACATGAACCTCAGATGGMATGAACTTAGGAAGAGATCTCTAAACATTAGGTAGGACCTGAACCTGAGCAAAAGTCTGCCATTGGTGCATTATACGGAATGTTACAATTTTCAAGTAAAAAGATTTGTTTCTGTTAGCACTATTTTTGACTATTTTGAAATTATTTGTGCTACATTGAATGTTGGCTTAACTTTGTGAGARTGATTAGGTTTTTTAATGTGAAAATGATAATAGAGGATTAGGATTTGAGGCATATGATGAAGTTTTGTAATTACAGAAAGAAAGATTACCATGTTTAAACAGTAACTGTACCCCCTCTAAATGTCGGCTTTTTCTAGAATTGGGTATGACTTATCAGTGAGTCATGAAAGAAAGTGATTAAATAACCAATATTTGTGATAAGCTTTATTTTAAAGACCGCTATTTCCAGTGCAAAACTAAAAATAGCCTTGCAAATGAGAAGACAAATGATTTAAGKTTTTAACTTTTGTCAGGAGAGTGGACAGAATTGTTTAAAAAAATCTAGGGGTAAAAGAAATCTATAGGTAGCATCAAGAGAGAAAACATTTTTGCTTGCAAGGAAAAATATAATAAATGGTAACATTRCAAATTATGAGTGGTCATTCAGGCTTCAATGGGCTGAAGATTTCATTTCAAAAGAAACTGTGCAGGAAGCTTTCCTTCAGAAATATGACTTTTATTATATGCAACCCTGCTCTGTTGCATTCAGTCTCCGTCATTTTTTCATTTGCTCACTTGCTGTGTGTTGGTGGCAGTTCAGAGGGCAGCAAAAGACTGAAGTGTTTCCCAAAGTAGTGTCTGAAATATTAGCTTTTTTCAGCTCAGGTCCTGAGGGAGGTCAGGCTGTGTAATGACAAAAGCCATTTTCGTATTATCAATCATTAAAAATAAATGAAGCATGTGATGTTGAAAAGGTATTAGTAACTAAAGAAAAAGAGATATATTCCTCCTTATTTTACTTCTGAGGAGCAGAAGAGGGTTAAAACCCTTCCAGGTGTCTGAGAATGTTTTCTTCACCTATGTTTTACCCATGAACTTTCTCAAATGCAGTGATGTTTGAGATAAAAATAGTCAGTTGTTCAAATACCAGTAATTAAATATATGGGATTTTCTGTCTTTCATTTTTTCCAGTTTAATGTATTGATGTCATTAACTGAGYCAGAAGCAGTAAACCCCAGTAATATCATGGTGACTTCCTGAATTACACATTCAAATCAACAAACCTCCTCTCTGAAATATTTGCTTCCAATAAAAAGATTAAGGTCTTCATCAACTTACGAATTAGGACAAGAAACAATTCTTAAATTCCCAGACATTCAGTTTAAGTTCTGCTGCCCACCAAACTAAATGAAGGGGTTATTCCCAATCTGCCTGTTTGGAGCTCTTTCTATCCATAGCACAGGATGGAATGGATTTCATCAYAACTAGAAATGCTTACACAAAAGAGGGATTTGACAAGACATATGAAATGTTCTCCAGACACCACTCCCAGAAGTCTCTWTATTTAGTGTAAGTTTTAGTTTGCTGAAACAGAAGACCAATACCATGGATCAACTTGGGTGGACATTCTTCAGAATGCATTAGATAAAATAYATGGTAGATATTAAAGAAAAACTAAGCTCATTTCTATTATTCCCTTTCTTTCATTCTGATACGCCAGCACACTTTATTTCTTTTTTATAAATAACTATTTTTTTAACTGTTTTATTGTTATYTGTTTTGTCTGCACATCCTGGACACAGTCACAAGTATGTGAGTGYAAGCATATAATGTACACTAGTGTGTGCATACATAAAAATATAATCCTGAAGATGAAGGAAGAGCAGAGCAAGACAGGGTCTGGGAAAAAAAAAAATCACCTAACTGGGGAAAATCAGAGCACAGCAACACTAACAAAACCCCTTTGGTTCACTCTTTCTACATTTTTTCCCTGTAAAGCCAGGCCTGGGGAGGCAGGGAGAAGTGTTTGCCTCCAGTTTCTGCCCTTGCCTACACCAAGATAAATACGAGAGCAGGGACTTAGCCTGAATAACAAACTGGTCTCCTTGACTGTGTCCTCTCCTAAAATCCTGTGGTCCTTGCTCTGATTGTCCCCTCCTACAGCTCTCCATAAATAGCCCTGCTTCTCTGCCCTTCCCTGTTCAGGGGTTTCATAGAATGAAAATTGTTTGGGTTGGAAGGGACTGTAAAGATCACCCAATGCCAACCCCTCTGCCACAGTCAGGGACACTTTTAACTGCACCTCAAAGGCCACTCAAAGCTGCATCCAGCCCAGCCTTGAACATTTCCATGAATATGGCATCCACAGCTTCTCTGGACATTCTGTTCTAGTTCTGTTCATCATCCTCACAGTARATCATTTCTTTATAATGTATAATCTGAATCTTTTAGCATACAGGGGTTTCTCTAGCCTTCACTGCTTTAGGGACTGGTTTCCCCTCCTGTGAAGCAGCTTTGCCCCAGCTCCAAGATCCCCAGTGAGAAAAGGCCTGGTCTATGTGTGTCCCTCACATGTAGCATTTAAGTCTGAAAAAAAGAAAAAAATTTCCATGATCTCTCATACTTTGAGAGCAKCTGAGCTTTCTGCCAGCCTGTGGCTGATCTATCCTTTTCCTTTCTCTTTCCTTGCCACTTTAATTACCTGATATAAGAGGCTGGAAAGATGACAGGATTCATACAGCACTTTACAGAAATGCTGCTCTCCCTACCTTCATCAATTCCTCATTTCCATATCCAAACTAAGTAATAAAGTCTGCAAAAATGCTGAGTCCATATTTCTCACATTTCTTTATAGACAGTTCTATATTAGGTATTGAAGTAGAATTCTTTGTGTCAGAAGAGAATGATTTTATGTACAATCACTGTAGAAGAAGATAAATGTTACATGACCTAAGCTAGAACTTAAACAGAAAGTTATGAAATAAAGGAAAATTTGTCTTTATTTCCCAGCACATTTTTTTCACTTTACTATTATGTAATATTCCTCTGGTTTGAATTACTAAGAGAATTTCTTCTGTTACCTGGAAGCAAATTAGGATTTTTTTTTCYAAACCAGMAATTAAAAAATAGCATATTTGTTAAGTCTAGAAACACAAAATTTTAGTGTGCTTTATCTAGGCTACAGAGAAAATTGAAGATTTKATCAGTCCAGCCACAGATAACAGCAGCTGAAATTTAGTAGCTCAATACTTGATGCCCACATTAAAAAAACACATTGATGCATATACAGAGGAAATATTTAGAAAATGTCCTTATGATAGAGATCTTTTTTACAYAAAGTGATATTTTATTTTTGCATAAAGTGATTTTGATTTTCCCAGTGTTTCAAATAGTTTCATTCACACCACTATTTGGCTAGATAGTGTATGGGGATTCTCTTGGCTTTTACAATTTCATTACCTTTTTTTTTTTAGTAAAAGAATGGCATCAGTTCTCTTATTTTAAAAATCTAAGAGAATGAATCTTGTGTGAGTTGAATGGTTTATGTAGTGGTTGAGAGAAATGCTTGCTCTTCACTGAGTTGGAAAACTACTCTCTACATTTTAATTAATGTCCTAGTACTCCTAAGTGATAACTACATTTCTCATGCTAGTCCTGCATAACATTTGTGCACTTCTAGTGAGACTGACAATTCAGCACAGCCATTACTCATTGGTGAATACGAAAACTAAAGTAAAATAAAAAAAAAAAAAAAAAAAAAAAAAAAAAAAAAAAAAAAAAAAAAAAACCCAAACAAAAAAAAAAAAAAAAAAAAAAAAAAAAAAAAAAAAACCAAAAAAAAAAAAAAAAAAAACCTAAAAAAAAACCCCAGCCAATAAAAAACAAAATCAGGAGATGTGAAGAGAAGCCGTGACCATAGAACCAAATTAAATCTTTGTCGCCAGAATTTAATTCAAAGCTACTGAAGCTATTCAAAAATCATTAAGTTAATGAAACACTAGAATCTTTCTCAGTAAATAAGCTTGCACTCTTTGGGTTTTACTTCCACTGTGCCTGAATCTATCTTATATTTAACACATGTTTTCAGATCCCATTTGGAAGCCAGCACCGACCAGTGGAAGCGATTACATCTCTCTCTTCAGGAACTTCTGGCATGGTTGCAGTTGAAGGAGGATGAATTAAAACAGCAAGCACCCATTGGTGGAGACCTTCCCACTGTGCAGAAACAGAATGATATTCATCGGGTATGGGCTCTTTTAAAATTATCTTTTGGTCATTGCTTTTCCCTTTGCAGGTTAGTSCTGCATGACACAGTCCTTGTTGGGAAGAATGCCAGCAGTCAAACACAGCAGAAAAATTCAGCTTTTTGCAGAAACAAGTGTTTATAGCATAACCTTTGGAGACCTATCACAGACAGGCAGATTTCATAGCTCAACAATTACTAASCTAGTAATTTTTGAGGATTAAATAAGTAATTGTTTTTTTCTAGATCATGCATTCCAACTTCATGTATACTTTTTGAAACCCTAGTGTGGGTTTTGGGAACATTTGTGAAGAGTAGCTGATGTCAGCCCTACTGCACAACTCTGCACCATGAAACTGTTGTGATAATTGTGGTTCATACTGGTTTCATCAGGGAATTCTTATGGAAAGGCATCATATGGGGGACCATTCTAGACTAAGATTTGTATTAAAAGGGAACCTGAATTGAACACCTGTACTGGAAGTCATTGATTTTTTAAACCTACCAAATGAACAACCCCCAGAATACTTCTGAATAACTCTTCATACRAAGATTCACACTGATTTTCTGTTGTGGTGAGGGTATACTTAAAGTCTCCCGTGTTTAACCAATTCACACCAATCTGCTTTCACCCAAATAGTCTTTAATTTCATATGCCTTTGAGGTCTGTTCRGGTCTGAATGTGAAATCAAAGTTCCACTACCTCTGTGGTATGATATATGTTCAAGTTCTCCTCTCCTTCATCCACATGTGTCTTTAAATAAAATAATGACATTGTGGGAGGTTTTTACTTCTTGCTTGGTGTCTGATTGTGCTTCGGTGTGCTATCTAAAAGTTATTTCAAACAAATKTAATTTTTATTGAAGAATTTAAATTATCCATATGAAATTTGATTCGATGAGAATATTCCAAATCCAGTGGTCATCCTCTCAAGGCATTGTGCTGTATATATGTGACTTCATTCTTGAAACTTGCCACAGAAGGTATAATTTCTGAAATTCCTAAGTCTCTGATTTTATTGCTTGATGGAGAAACATGAAATGGTGCTATAAAGCAACATTGTAACCGTGGTTTTTCCATTCATCAGGTAGCTGTATATATATATATATTGCTCTAATATACTGTCTTCCTCATGGGGAAGGACACATTTGAGAACAGATAGTGAGATCAAATTTGGAAAGTGAACATATTTTGATACTTTAAGTTATTTGAAGCCCTGGGTTTGTGAAAAGTCAGGAAACACCATATTCAGCCAGGCATGGATTTTTCCATAGGCACAGAGGAATTCATCTRCTGCAGCAAACCTTCACCAAATGGCTGAGAAAGCCAAAGAGAAAGATGAACAAAAAATATTTCTCTTTCAGTGCCAAATCTTTTCTAAGATAACATAATGCTTTCCTGCAAGGGGTATCTTTGTCACATTTCCTAGGTCTTGCCTCTGGAGAGGTGATGTGTAGGAAGTGTCTTTCTCACAAAATTTTACGTGGGACTCAAAGCACTATCACAGAGACTGTAAGGTGAAAACATCCATGACTTTATGGGGCAGCACCATTCCTTTTTTTCACCTTTCCCCCAAGAAAGTGAAGACATGTGTTATATATAACCATGAAAGTTAAGAGAAGCCTGAGGTYTGTTCTAGCCATAAAGTAGCAACTTCCATAAAGTAGTTTTAAAGCCCATCCAGAGTACCAGGACAAAAGAAGCAATATAGACGCTCCTTTAACTCAGAATGACATTAACTCAAACTCTCTCTCCAAATACAACTCTTGAGCCAAAACAAGRGTTAGAGAGGGATTTTTATAGAATTGTTACAACAAAACTTTTTCCATCTAAATAATATTTSAGTCTTTGGAAACATTACTTTTCTCCTAGACAGAAGAAATATTTTCTCATCTAATAAAATTAYTTCTCATAATATTTTTAGTATTGTATATTGCTCTGTAAGCACTTTGAGTTTCCCAGAATTCATCATAAAGGTGTCAAGTCTTTAGTAATGAACTAAGTGATCTCACCAATCAAATGAAGTATTTAGAACTTTTAGGGATGAAAATTATTAAATAAAAATAAGACACCATGATTAGGGGCAGAATGACTTCAGAAAATAGATCTCATTTCTCCTTTTTAACTGCTCTACTACTTGCAGATACATGGCACAGATCTTTGTTCATCGTGTCTAGTATCAAAGCTACAGTGTTTTAGTTCCTTTTAGAATTATGGCTTTTCCTTTTCCCATTCTGTAGCACTTCACAAGTGTGGGGTTTTTCTAGTTGTAGGAATACTGCTTCACTGTGGAAAAAAAGAACAAAACAGAACACTTTAAATTAATTAATTCAGATATCTCTGACAGAGGAGAGAAAAACAATCAGCATGGAAGTTGACTCCARKTTGCCTTTGACAAAATCTAGGTTTRCRCATGGAGGTTTTTAATTTGGTTCCTCCAGATTGGTTGGTTAGTTAGTTGGTTAACTGGTCGAAGGTTTTTTTTACTCTAAAAGTTTCTTTAAGACAAGCAGGTATACAAAGGCTGTATCTGAATGACCAGCTTGGCTCATTTCTGCACATAAGAAAAATACTTTAAAAAGGCTTGCACCACAAGTGTAGATCAAGCTGAAAACTGGAGCCCAGCACTGGGAAGCCGTTTTCAAGAGGTTTGTGCCTTGGCTTTAGACGGTGTTGGATATGAAACCACACAGTTTTGTGATGATCTGGAGAAAAAGAATCTGCTGACTGTTCATTTTGTTCTCTGGAATGCCACTTCTGCAAATCAATCTTCAATAAATAAGAGAAGCATCTACCAAATCTGATTTTAAGTGACTAAAACTTCCAGTTTTGGTCTTTCTTCATAAATTCCTTCTGTGGAGAATTGTTTCTGCTAGGTAATGCCAGAACTGAACCCAGGTAAGTTCTTCACTGGAGAAGTGAATAAACTTCATCAGGGGAGTACTATTTATATGCAGTTTAATGGACTCAACTGAGAAATTGTATGATGAATGAAAACACGGTTTCATGCCTGAATCCTTCTCCTAAAGAATTGTTGCAACCTGATTTTATTCTTTTCCCTTAAAGATAAAATTTAAAGAAGAGCAAACATATTTAACCTTTCGATCATTTGGAAGAACATCTGGAATACCACAGAGATTCATAAAAGAGATGGAAAGAAGTCAGTTCTTACCATTTGAGTGCTCRTAGTTGCCAAGATTGGCTTTAAAAATTTTAAGAGTAGGATTCTGATGAAARTTTTAAATGCTTGAATCTATGCCAGAGGAGAGCTTGAACTCAACTGAGAACAGGGGTATCCATGCAGTCAAAATCATTGTTGTGTTATGAATGTGAGGTGCTTTTTAGACAAGACAGTTTGGAATGTATCCCAAATACACCCACGTAACTGCTATTTGTTTGAACCTTTATATATATAGTAGGTCATTTTGTCAATTTTTGGCATCTGAATAAATTGTCTTCATTCCAAAGTCTTAGAATGTGTGGGGAGGAGYGAYGGYGGTGGTGTTAGTCAATGATAAAAARTATTCCTGTTCTTCAAAACATTATTTCATTATCTTACAGTTTTCTTTCTTTTATTGAGTATCATAATATTGCTTTAGTGAAATTGAATTAACAACTGTGTGCATGTAACTGTTAATCTCATCTAAGTACCTTAGGCATCATGCAGATAGCCTGCTATGTCTTTCATTCTTTTAAGAGTTGCCTCATTTGCTGTGTAGTGATTTTATTAACAACATAAATAGCATTTATGAACATGCAAGGTACTTATTAGCAGTTCCATGGAAATAATTTCACATTAAATCTGTAGCATCTCTGCCTAAGGAGGGGTGCAGTTCCTGCTTCARCTCACTAACCAATTCTGGTGGCACAATTAATATCTACTTTTAATTAGGACAAACACCATTTTTTGAAAAGTGTTCTGGTTGGCAAATATGTTAAATTTATCTAACAGTACTCTTTCTCTTTATAACATTGAAAGCAAAAAATCCTAGTTTTTAAATAACGGAGATTAATAATAGTTTTACAAATGCAACTCTTTTCTCATTWTATTTTCATTTTTCAATTTAAACAATCGTTGTTTCTTCATTTAAAGAGATTTAAGGACACTCACGAGGTGGTAGTAGAGGTCTGGGATAAGCTGATCAATATATGCATTATTAAAATGGTGGACAGAATGCCATTACTGCTGCAGTGCTGATGACAAATAGACATGCTTAAATAAAGTAGTTTACTTACTTTTTTGTCAGGTCATACATTATGCGTATTCGATTTCCTCTACMGTCACCACAAAGTGTGGAAGAAGTTAAGGAATTCAATGAAATTAGCCTGCAATCATTAGCTGTACATTAGACATTCATTTAGGCTAATTCTGCTTTCAGTGATGGTCTAGTTATTATAAAGATGTATTTGTCAGGGCTCTAGATAGATAAATTACTTCTTTTTTTTTTCCTCCAAAAGAAGAGAAAATTCTTTTATCACTACTTATGATTTTGATTGGTTGTGTGTACATATCTCACAGCAAAACTTTAMTCAGAAAAGCATCTTTATCTTCATACAGTAAGAACTTTTTTTTTGTAATGGGTTAGTATGAAATGAGAATTCATTATTTTAATGCTGTTCTGTGCTACTGCTTCAGCCTCATGTTTTTTTCATCCTCTCCTTTTCACATTTCTTTAATTGAAACATATTTTGACTCGGTAGAAATCTTCAGATCAAAACTAGGGAAGAGATGGGAGCTGTAAATAGATCTCAACACCATACTGAGTACTATTCTGTAACTCTGGATTTACAGGCTATAATCGCCTCCTCCAGATCCAACATTCAGAATGGAAAAGTTGGGGGAAAAAAATTTAGCACATTGCCTCAGTTTTCCTTTATTAACAAAGAGACTCTTTCTGTTGGTGACAAAATGAAATATGCAAAGCCAGAAGTTCCTGTTAGCATTTCTTTATTTTTTTGAGGAAGATACAATGATTCCTGATCACAGGCTTTATGGGATGCAGTGCACATATGTTCTCCTGCTGTTGCACAAGAGATACAGGAGGAATGTGTCTTTAAACCTCTTCTGGAAAGAGTGTGCCACTGGGTGTATTGGATTGCTGCAGTTTTCTGCAAAAGAAGCACAAGCTGAAAGAAGGTCTTTTTTGTCCTTCTCCTGCTGTGCATGTGAGCATATCTAGGGGTGACCTGTCTCCAGCAGCAGGACTACTCATTCCCAAATGCACAGTTCAGAGGTATTTCTGGCTTTTAGCTATCCTCTGCATCCGTGTATTTCTGTGTCCCCCTGGAATACCTGTGACTCCTTCCTGCTCTTGGTGGGTGTCTGCGGAACAGACTTTTGTGTGAGTGCTTTCTGCTTGACTGGTTTGGGGGGCAGACATTTCTGAGAAATAATACATCTTTGGAGACACTTCTAAAGCCTATTATATCTTTGAGCTGTTATACMATTTATTGTTTAAAAAACACTGGTTTAAGTGAGTTTGACTGTTGATGTTACTTTTAATATCAGCAGAGAGTGAAGCACACAAYCCATGGAAACAGCCATGCCAGGTTTCAAGTTTTGTTTCCTGCTGGCTTACTTGACCTGCAGASCTGCCACACCATTCCAGTGGAACGGAATGATGTGAGAGGGACACAAAGTTCATTAAAGGAATATCTTTTCCTCATTTAGAGACATGAAAAAGGGTTATTGTATTTCCTCTTCCATCACACTTCATGCAAGAGTTAAGTTTGAATTATAAGAATTATAAACCTAAAAGTGCCTAAGTTAGAGATTCAGCCCTGTAGTAACTCCAGTCAGTTATTGTGCAAAACAATGTCCAGTGGTAGTTTATTTGTTAATATACAATACGCGTCTTTATTGTGAAAATTGGTGTTGTTTTTTAAAGGTCAACATGATGGTTTAAAACATTTATCACGGGTGTGTTAATCCAGTGGCAGATTCCCTTTTGATAGCAGACTCTGAAAAGATTCCAGTCCCATTATTATCCTTGACACAAAATAAAGATTTTTTGCTTTGTTATTTCCTTCATCAAAGCAGACTCTGCTAATAGGTTTTCCCAAGCACAGTTTCAAACCATATGGTCCATTCTTGACCGTTAATAAAAAGTGTATTTAAATATTTATAGTAGAATAATGTARTTATTTTTTTAAGTTTACTTTCCTGAAATGTGTTAAGAACTTTTTACCTGTGAGTGCTCGTATTATAAACTATACCTGTTCCCATTATTAGTTCTGGTAGGTATTTCCTGTACAGAGAGTCACATRTCAAATATAATTCAAAGTGTAATTAACTTTTTAATATTGAATTTATAATCCTTCATTAGTTTGCATAGAAATACAAATTTTGTTTAAAAATTAATTTAACTGAATTGGTGAGTTTATTATGTTAGAAGCTTATATAATGCTGGTGTGGTAAGGAGACATTTCTAATCCCTCCAGTAAAATATCTATTTTCTACTCATGGCATATGGCTCTCCTTTTTGCAGTATTGTGTTTTGTGTTATGCTGTGCTATTAAATTACCTGCATATTTTACCTGTATTTATCTGCTACTTGAAGCAGTATGCATCCAATAATGTACCATAAAACAGAAGAAAATACTGAAATAAAAGAGTGGTAAGAACAATTTAGATAAATTCACTGCAAGATGCAGAAGACCCAGTGCAACATGCAACCCACWGGCTGGGTTTCATCTGCATTTTTGTGTGGTGCACATTTGAAGTCAGGTTAATAGAGTCTTCTATTTAACAAAAATAGATAAATTAATAAATAAATACTTATTGAGATATGTACACTTTCAGCAACCTACCAAAATTTCTACTTGCTAATCTTGAGAAACTTGGTTATGGCCATTTAAAAGCAGGGTGTAGAGGAGAGGTGGTCAAAGGAGCTGTTGCTGAAAAAAGAAAAATGCTGCATGCTGGTAACACATTTGCTCTTTTGAATACAATGTGATTTCAGGTTAAGCAAAAGCTGATTCTTTTAATATTATTTTGTGTGAGCATGTGTATGTGTGTATGTGTGTTTGTGTTTTGTTGCAACATATGGGAGCTGTTGTCGGAAATTTTGCTCTGACATTGATATTCTGACCTGGTATTTCCTTGTAGATCCATTTAAAATAATTTTGTCCCTTAGACTTTCAARAGGGAGCTGAAAACAAAAGAACCTGTTCTCAGGAGYGCCCTTGAGACYGCACGAATCTTCGTGGCCGAGCAGCCCGGGGAGGCAGCAGAGAAGCTCTGCCCAGAAGCCAGAGGTAATTGAAGCAAGAACAGGGTAATAACACATTGCTGGAGAGATCAGTGATGATCAGTGATGATTAAATAAATTCTGCCAGCCTCTCTGAAAGCATTCCTTTCACACTCCGAGCTGAATGCCAGTATTCAGAAGCTAAGCTAAAAATATAGATGAAAGCAAGCTTTAGCGATCCTTCTGAACGCTGTGGTACTAAATAGGCATGAATATTTATAAGCAGATCTCGAAACTGCCTTCAAACCTTCAGGACCTGTCTATAATTATAGCCTCATTTCAGGTCTCAAAGCTGCAATTTAAGCTAAAATTCACCTTGTAGTCTCAGTACTAGAGGAGATCCCAAATCCACCTAATTGCAGCAAAAGCATCACAGTGATTAATATTTATCTGTGCGCAGAAATATTGTGCTGAAACAGCTGATAAACTTTTAGCTACACCTTGCATGTTTCAAAATGCCTTTATGTACTTAAACACATACTTTGCTGATTTTTATGGTGGCGAGATTTAATTTTTTTAAGAGATTTTCAAATGAGAATACATTAATAAAACAAATTTCACAGGTGCCTTTGTTTGTGACTAGTTTCTTACTGACATTTGAACTTACTCAGATGGCAGCTGTTTTAGTTCTAAGAGAAAACATGCCTTAAAAGCCTCTTCACTTTCCCATTTAGATCTGCCACCTGAAGAAAGAGCCCACAATGTCACTAAACTTCTGCAAAGGCAAGCAGATGAGGTCAGAAGCGAGTGGGATAAGCTGAACCTACAGTCTGCTGATTGGCAAAAGAAGATCGACGATGCTCTTGAGAGACTGCAGGGTCTTCAAGAGGCAATGGATGAGCTGGACCTGAAACTTCGCCAGGCTGAGGCATTCAAGGGATCCTGGCAGCCAGTGGGGGATCTGCTAATTGACTCTCTGCAGGATCACTTGGAAAAAGTCAAGGTATGTGTCAGACATCAGTTTTTTTCTGAGCATAAAATTGTTCATTGKATGAATCCCCATATCAGTAATTATCTTCTAAGAGGGATAAATTATCTTGGTATCATGGTGATTTATATTTAAAAGTATATATAAAGAGTTTTATCATTTCAAAAATTAAAATGCAGTGGGATCATCACTGAGAATGTCTATTKCTGGCATGGGTAAAAACACTACAGAAATGTATAAAAATCCTCAGCACACTCATTGTTAATTCAGGAGAGGCAAAATTAGTGATTAAAAAGAAAGCAAAATAGGATAGGAGAAGATATTATTAAAGTATTTTTCTTAATTATATTTTTATAGTATGATAAATGTATGTGTTTTTTCTATAATTGTAGAGTAGAATTTAAATAATTTAAAATATATAGTTTTCATGATGGTGGAATTTGCTATCTGTCTTTTTTGATAAATAGGCTTCATAACTAAAGATAGTCTAAAAAAAACCAAAAAATATCCAGCAATCCTGGAAAAATTGTCATTATTTTCTGTAACTTAATGCTTATCTGCTTTTAAGGGTTGTTTCATAAAATCGTTGCTTATTGAGAAACTTGGGCAGACTCATCCTCTTTCAGCATGACTGCTGTGGACAGACTTGATAAATAATACAGGATTCCTTCAGCTCCACCACAATAGAGGCAGTTGCCATTTTGATAAGAACAAAGTGCCTCTGTTCCAGTCACATAAATGGGAATCATCAGTCATTTTGAAAGAGACCTGAGCTAACTGTTATTTTCTCTAGTTGAACATTAGGATCTAAGGAAGAGGAAATGGAATGACTAATGACAAGAAAAAAAAACGCGCCTCTAAAAATCAAATGTAGTTTATTAAAATGAAAGTCCTCGAGTTTTAATCACACAGAAAGTTTAATGAGCGTCCTGTACAGATACTKTACAAGAACAAATGAAATAGTTAGTAGCTGATGAAAAGCTAGCTGCAAAATTTGTTTATCTTCATTTAAATTCATAAATGAACAGAAGAAATCTATTCATAAATTCTCAGAAAGTGCTATTATAACCATGGTTTGGAGGATTTTTTTTTGATTTTGAGGAAGATATTCTGAACAGAAACTGAGTCTCTGATATTACTGGAAAACAAAGTAAATCATTTAATTCTAAAGCCATGACCAGGAGTGTTGACTCCATAATCATAATTCTGAGTCTTTTTATGGTTTAAAAAATAAATAAATACATCCTAGATAACATAATTAATGATTTATTAATTTATCCACTTAAAGATGAAATACCTTTCCCTTGCAGATGTTTCAGTTAAAAGCTAAACTTGTTGAAGTYATACAGCCTTCACTTAAAAGTTGTTAGCAAACAATAAGGCTTTTTCTTTATAAATTATCAGCAAAACATTATCCAAGTGATACATTATCTGTCTCATCCGTGCTCTGGTTTTTATGATGAATATCCCTATGATTTTACAATGAAGCAAAGTGTCTATTTCCCTCTGTACATTCTCTCTATACACCCAAGCACCTTCTGARAGATCTTCAAAACATTGGTCATATGTTATTGCATTTCTTGCAAATCCTTCTTTTAACTTGGATCACAGTAGCTTTCCAAAACCTTTGATGAAAAACTTCCCAGAGAATTTTGTGCCATTTGTCACTGTTCTCTTTAGTTATAGTTGCTGGAGCTGCTAAGGTCATGGTATAACTTTAAACTCACATTAAACAGTGGATCCTTGGTCGGTATTAATATAGTAACATCATTACTATTATTGTTATTATTATTATTATTATTATTATTATTATTATTATTATTATTATTATTATTATTACAGATACTTTATCTGCATTAATGTACAAATTGGTGTTCATCTTTGATTGTGAGGACAAGAGATAGTTTCACTCATTTGCTCCAAAGGATGCAGCCTAGACTCAAGATAATCTACAACCAAAATATTCTTCAGATTTCTCTGCTGTCATCTGTTGTTCTCCCTTTTTTCATCTCTCATATAAGTGATCTTATCTGCAGACTGAAATATAACTTTCTTAATAACACACATTCTTTCTGTCTCCCTTCCAAGCATATCTTTCTGTCCAGTAAAAYCCAAACCATCATTTAACTGCCTTAAATTCAGTTCAAGCCCAAATTGATCTATTATTTGTCCCCTAATGTCCATTGCCTGATCAGTTTGATTGTAGCTCAGATCATATTTTAGACATGGCCTCTGATTTCTACTCCTCTCTGCAGCAAATTCAATGATGCTTTCTCCTGCAATCACTAACAAAATGTTCTCCTTTTCATCAGAATGCCTGGAACACTCAGGGTCTCATGGGACCACCACTCAGATTTTATATTAAGCCTTTGCTGCAATGCAATTGATTTGCAATCATGCCTTCCTCATCCATTGGGTATCTTATCCAAAGACCCATTCCAAAAATTGACTGTAGAACCAATTTCTCTCTCTTTGTTCCCCAAAGATTTTTCTTTGCCCCATGCCATCCAAAACCTTGGCAATGGTTATTCTAGCAGCATGCAAAAATCATTATATGTCATGCTGATACCTTCCCACTGTTTTGTTGTCTCTCTGAAGACAACTGCTGGGAAATACTGATAGAAATTAGTACCCAAAAGAAGTTCCAGCTTTTTATACTTTTACACTCTGGAAATTTTTTTTTTTAATTAAAAGCCACTGGTTTGAGATGTTGTGGATGGAGTTTTGTGACTCAGAAGACAATTTTAATGATGCGGTTTATCTTTAGCTCAAGGTAGTTCCCAGTATACTCACAAGACCACAATGTAAAGCATTTTTCTGTCTGAATATTCTAACATACCACTAGCAGCATAAAACTGCTTCAGTTTTCTGTCATACACAGCCCTGTAAGGGAACAGCAGAGCCTCTAGACTCCATGAGGGATAGAATTATGTTCTAATTTCTTTTTTTTTTTTTTTTTTTTTT